ACTGAGGAAAATGTGTTTTTCACTCTTTGATTTGTTTTTTTTTTTTTTTTCTCTCCTTCGGCAAAAACTTCACCGTGCAGAGTTGTAATAAATTTTTTTTCCCTTGCCTTGGTCAGGTAATTTTTTTCTCTTCTTTTTTCCACCCCGCAAAAAAGATAAAGCACAGGCGCGTATGAAATTGGTCGCATTGGTGCACATACGGAATGGTCCCTTTGGTGGAGCAGAACGCAGGGGTGTGAATTGTAGGTAGCCTGCCATGCTTGCAATGTTTTCTTTGTTCTTTTTTAGCTGACGTGTTAATCCCCGCGTGCGTTGTAGCGGAAAATCAATCGATGAGTCAATCCATTTGCACCTGTCGCATGGGTTAAGAAGGAGAAACAGAACTGGTTAGGCTCACCCACGCCCGACACCACTACAACGTCAGTAAACTTAACATAGAGCGATAAAAATGAGGAGCTCCCCAGATGAGAAGCCGCCTATACAAAACTTGTGCGTCTACTGCAGCAGAAGTCAGACCTTCTCGTACCTGCGAAAATGGGACGCGGATAAAAGCTCGAGGGAGGTTTCATCAAATGAGTACCAAAGGATTGTTTTGAAAAAATCTGTCAAGTACAAATGGGTAAAAAATTTGTCCTGCGATGAGTGTCACCTGAGTGTGATGAAATCGTTGCAGAAGGATGAACGTGCGAAGAAGCTAATAGGAACACGTGGGCGGACCGATGAAGACGCGGGAGGTCCTTCTCCTATGATGGCAAGCACCATGGGGGGAGAGTTCCCCACTGTAAATAGACGTTTTCTCAGAAATGAAATGCGCATGAGGGAGGCAAAATCGTTGGAGAGGAGGAGCAGACGGAGGTTTAAGCCCAGAGCCTTTGTAGAAAAAGCGGTTAAAGTGGGCGAAGCGGAAGAAGCGGTTAAAGCGGACGAAGCGGGTAAAGCCCAGGAGGACCTTTTCAACGCCGTGGCCAGGGCCAAGCGCTACCGACGTGTGTCCAAAGTATGGCTACGAAGGTTCCTCCGAAAGAGCGGCCCAGTGTACAAACATCTGGCAGAGCGGCTAATAAATTTTCTGTCAATAAGAAGCTTTCAAATGTTCGATGTAGAATTGTGGAACTGCTTTTTCAAAAAAAAGGTGACAAATCATATGAACACTAATTTGTACTTTGTGTTTGGCAAAGAAGGGAGCGAGAAGGAAAGGTTTTTAGAAGACCTGTTTATCTCCTTTCCTTTTATGTACCCCAGTGATCGGGTTTACCTTATTGATCTGGGTCAGTATGGGCGGTGCCCCATCGTGAGTGACTCCAGGTATGCAGTCCATTCGATGGGGAGCAGCCGGAGCAGCGGCAGTAGTAGTTCGCTTCGCAGTAGTATGCCTAGAAGCGCCCCTATTGATGCAAAAAAACGCAGGCCATACGTGAACAAAATAATCTATCCCAATCTGAGCGAAATCACACAGAAGGAAGAAGCAGTGAGAAGACTGACTAATCGGAGGGGATGCCTCCAAAACATAGACCCGTGCAATGAGAACCTGGAGTATATCTTGCTAGCCGTCACCCGAATAGGTCTCGTGAAACAGTTCGTTTGGAAGAAGGAGTTAATGAGGCGGTTGTCTGTCTTGGTACAGTCCAGTCCACTGTGGAAGGGGCTTCCACAGAGGGGAGAGGCACCAAGGAAGTATCCCCTAACGGCTAAAGCGGAAATGAGTAAACGGACCAGGGGACTGAACCTCTTCAACGGGGGTCCCTCCTTCGTGTTAATAAAAAATTTGGACAAACTTAACCACCTGCAGATGCCCCCCCTGAGGAGAAGTTGCATCGTTCAGGTGATTCTCAAATATGTGTACCTGTGGAAGGAGCTGAATTTAAATGTTCACGCGTTTGTTTTGGCAGGGGAGGCACTAGAAGAAGTAGAGGCAGCAGAAGGGGGAGTAGCCTCCGGAGGAGCAGCACATCCCCATGGCCTGAACCCCCTCAGCGAGTACCTCTCCAACTGTGCCACGTTTGAGTTCCCCACTTTTGAGATGCCCCCCTTCTTGCGCGAGGCCGAGAGACACCAGTACTTGACGCACCTCTTTAAAGAAAAAGGGGTGAAGTGCTCCAAGGGGGACCTCAAACAGATAGCGGAAATGACCGCCAGTTTTAGCAAAGCGGATTTGGACAACCTCTGTAGAGATGAGTGTCGAGAGAGGTTCATTCATGCGGTGAGGGGGGGGGGAGGGGAAGTGACCAATATTGGCGATGTGGCAAACATGGGCGAAGTGCTCAATATTGGCCGACTTCCCAACATGGTGGAACTCTCCAAAGGGTTGTGTACCCAGGGGGGGGCACCTCCTGAGAGGAGCTTCTTCCACAAGACGTTGAATCTTCAGAGCGAATCCCACGCGGTCATCCGCACGCACGAGATTGAGTTGTACAAAGGAGAGAAGCGTAGCCATCCGAAGAGAACCCCCTACCCTGGTAGGGTCTCCCTGTTGGAGGATGACCCCCACAGTGGAGAGACTCACGGATTGGACAGGGTCATAGGAGAGGAGGAGCTGGTAGGGAAGCTGCGGGCAGAGGTGCTACGCTGCTTCAGATCCACATGGGAGGAGGACCACCCTTGTGAGAAGGATCACCCATGTAAGAGGCCCCGTTCAGAACCCCCCATGGGCATATTACTCTATGGGAAGAGCGGGTCGGGAAAGACATTCATAGCGCAGAAAATCATCGAAGAATGCAACTGCACCTCCCTTGTGATAAACTGCTCCCACGTCTTTAACAAAGTAATGGGAGAGTCGGAAAAGTTTCTAAATGATGTCTTCGTCTATGCGTCAGGTAGAGTAGGACCATGTGTCATTCTCTTTGATGGCATCGAAAATATATGCTACAGCACGAAGGGATCTTCATCCCATGGCATGAGTAAATTCACGGAGAGGTTAAAGCTCTGTTTTTACCAACACCTAGACAGAATTCACTTCCAGAACAAGTGGGGAGTGGAAAGAAGGACTGCCGGAAAGGTTTTCATCATAGCAACAACAACGGAGATTACAAATGTAGATGCGAATCTGATGGTCGAGCATCGTTTAAGACATGTGTTCTGCACGAAGGAGTTCCACCTATGGCGAGACAGTGATGTGTTGAGACTCGTCCGCACCTCCCTTCACCAGTGTAATGTCCCTGCGGAGAGCTTCGTCCTCTCCGTGGGGTTCCAAAACTTTTTCAGAGAATACATTTTGAGCCGCAAAGAGAGGCTCACTCCGCTGTGCGTTTCGAACTTGTGCAGAGACGCCGTGGCTCGGCGCGTGCGGAGGGTGCTCGCCTGTGCAGGTTAGCCGCAGAGGGGGGCCAAGCGCTTCGCAAAGGCGTAGAGATGAAATGAAATGGAAATAGGAATAAAATAAAATGAAAATAAAATGAAAATAAAAATAAGAATAAATTCAAAATAAGAATAAATTCAAAATAAGAATAAATTCAAAATAAGAATAAATTCAAAATAAGAATAAATTCAAAATAAGAATAAATTCAAAATATGAATAAATTCAAAATATGAATAAATTCAAAATAAATGATTCGCTTAAGGATTAACTTTACATGCGTCATGTTGTGCCCCCCCCCTGCTCGTAGGACGAGAACCGAACGATGGGATCAGCGTGGAGGACTTTCTCTGGGCCGCCAAAAATGTGAATAGCTGATGAAGACGGATCAACGTGGCGAGACACGCACGTTCGGCAGATCGTCACACTTTGTAAGTAGGTTGGTCTGCGCCACTGCTTTTTTTTTTTTTTTTTTTTTTCACGCCCAGTTGGTTTTGTTATCCGTTGCGTTAAAACGGGGAAAGGTGACCAAAAAATTTTGAATGTCCCTTTTTTTTTTTTTTCTCCTTGAGGTGAGCGTCCCATCAAGGCATTTCGCACGATGAGACGCGTGGCATAGGGGAAAGAAGCGTAACACGGAGGAGGGGAAACTGACGTGGAGGAGGAGACTCCAATCGGAGCGAAGCGAATTATAAAGTTCCCCTTTCCGGTTTGTCACCCTCCGCGATGCCTTTTTCTCTTCCCCTTTCAAATTAACCTTTTAACACGGCGCGCGTAACATACCGATTGGCGACCTTCCCCCGTTTCGGCACATGGCATTTTTTAGTTGACCTGGTTGGCTCACTACTCTCTAGTTCGTACCCGTTTGGCTTCCCCCCCTCCTGAAAATACGACAACTTCGGCTTCCTCACCTGTGTGCGTAAAATGGTACGCCAGAAGATTGGGGAGAGAGAACGACCAATTCGTTTTTTTAGCGGAAGCCTCGGAGTTAAGAAGTAGCCTCTCTACATTTGTGGATTCCCCTTCACATTAGGAAGGAACGGTGAATCGGTTTGCATCCCCCTCCCAGTCAGGCTTGTCTTTGCATGAGTCCCATACCATGGCGTCGGATTCGAAGAGTCATGTTAACTTGGGTGGCTATCAAGTTCCGAAGTGAGCAGACAACATTGCAGCGCAGGAAAGACTTCACGTCGCTTCCTTTGGGGAAGCGCAAGAGAGGACCCTTGCTACCCCCCGATGCTTCACATGCGGAAGTATCTATATGGATGTTCCTATCGATACAGCGCACAACTCTCAATTGACCCCCCTCGCAGGACAGTATTCGATGGGCTGAGCCCCATGGAGAGGCATAAGCTGATGATGTCCCTGCGCTCTTTGCAGAAGACCAAAATGGAAAGCGACCAGGGGAAGTACCTAGACGACTATGACGTATTGAAGAAAAAGTACCAGTTTGTCCACGACGCGGTGAGCAAAAATGAGCCATCCGGGGGAAGAGCGGCTGGAGCAGCAGGAGAAGCAGGAGAAGCAGGAGAAGCTGCAGGCGGATTAGCAGCCGAGTAGTAGCCCTATTAGCAACAAGACGAACGAACTCGCTAATGCGTGGATAGCCGTTTGGCAACCCCACACGACACGGTTATCGGCACATCACCATTCTTACCCGTCAACCCCGCCCCCTTTCTTAGGCCAGCGAAAATAACTCCCTTCTGCAAAAGTACTACAACAGCATATGCAACAAATACGTCGTCTGCTACTTGAGTGAATACAGAGACAAAAAGGTACTCGCCATGCGTTGTCGTTTTGCGTGTCCGTTACGTTGTTCTTGCATATGTTTTATGCGTGCCTTTTTTTCTCTCTCTCTCCCTTTTTCTCTGTCTGGTTCGTTAACCTCCCTTTTGCATCATTCCACGGGGAGGCAGATCGGCCTGAGGTGGAGGACGGAAGATGAAATTGTGAGCGGGAAGGGACACATGATTTGTTCCGCCAACGATTGCGACAACACGGATTTGAAGACTTACGAATTTCTGTTTCGCTATGACGAGGGGGGCATCCAGAAGGAGGTAACGGAAGGTGGTGGGCTCTCTGTGGCCTGTCCGCGCCAAATGTCAAACGAAGGGACATGTTTTCCCTCCTCCGCACGGAGCGATACCGCACCGCGATGCCACGCCGCCGCACCTTGCGGCTGTACCATTTCATTCCTCCTCCACCCCAACTGCAGACGAAGGTGAAGCTCCGGGCCTGCATGGAATGCGCGTACAAGATTAATTACGGCGAAATTAAAAAGTACCTCAAAAAAAAGTCCAAGCGGAAGCGAACGGGGGGCGGGAGGAAGAAGGACCGATCGGGGGGCAGCGAAAGTGGGAGGAATAGCGGCGGACATGAGAGCAGCAGCAGCAAAAGTGAGAGCAGCCGCAGCGAAAGTGAAAGTAGCCGCAAACCTGGGAGTAGCCGAAAACGTGCGAGTAGACGCTAACGAAGCAACCTAGTGCCAACACATAGACGATGGCGAAAAATTGAAGAAAAAAGAATCGATAGGTTGTGCAACAGTGTGAACTTAAGTGAGCATCGATTTTTTTATTTTTCCCAACTTTTCGTCCTCCCGTTTGGTTGCCCCACCAAAAAAGGAAAAAATTCCATCCGATTTATACCACATTAGGGGGAAGCTGCTAAATATATTCTCCAAAATGAAAAAAAAAAAAAAAAAAAAAAGAGGGAAGACAACCATTCCCCCGACCTACAATCTTTACTGTTTTGCAAAAAAGGCAGCATATACCATATATAGCCCAACTTGTGGAGGAATCCCCGTGTGAACTACCATTTTGTGCTTTATCTCGTCCAGACCGCCCAAAAATACCCCTCCACTGCTCAACACACGCAAAAATACCCCTCCATTGCTCAACACACGCAAAAATACCCCTCCACTGCACAACATACGCAAAGAACTATTTCCACTTTTTTGAGGAAGGATTGTTTGACTTCCCTACTGGTGCAGACGCAGAGCTGCCTTTTTGTTGTTCCACCGTGTTTGCTTTTTCCATGTCCATTTCTAGCAATTTTTTTCCTCCCCTTTTTTTTTTTTTTTTGTTTTCCCATCTGTGTTGCTACTTATTGGTGAAATATAAACGAGTAGTAACTTGGGGCTCCCTTAAATGGTAAGACCCTCATCAAAAATGTTAAAGCGCCACTTTACGGCATGGTCGTGTTTGTAGGGGATAAATATAAAAAAGAATAAAATGAAGTATTCTTTTTTTTTTACGTCATAGGGAAGAAAAAGGACTCATCCTGCCTTTACCTACACGTTTGCAGCCCTGCTTCTCGAATATCCACACAGATCGAGCTACAGCGAATGTGTCTTTTTGAGATGCCGAGAGGGCACTGCTCCCCGCTGACCGGTTAAAGCAGTCATCTGGTAGACCACCAAAATTTTACTTGGCTGCCAGGTGGCGGCACCCTGACACACACGTAGATCTCCACGTGTGTACATTTACGGAGGTACGAGTACAAAGTACCCTCCCCCCCGGTGCCCCTAATGAAGCCGCTCATCTGCGCACACAAAGGGCGCGTCTACAACGAAATTACCAAGCAGACAAAGTTTGCCAAAAATAAAGACACCCTGCAGAAGACCAAATACCTGGACATCTCCTCCATCTCCGTCATTATCGATTGGCTAAACAGTCTCCAATTAAGTAAAAGAAATATAAATGAGCAAAACATTTACGAAGAGCTACAGAATGGGCACTTAATTTTAAGGCTAATTCAGCTTTACAATCCCCAGGTGGAAATTAAAGGCATATTTCCAAAAGCGAGGAAAAAAAAATGTGCAATCCAGAATTTGGAAAAAGCGTTGTCAATCATTTATGGAAACAACCCATATTACTACTCCATGGTTTCTTCGCTAGATATATATGAACAGAAAAAAAAAAAAATTCATATATTGTTAATACAGCTTTTTAGCAAATTCGAGTTCGCCATTTTGACAAGAATAGCAGCTCCTCTGTTAAGCTGGTACAACCAGACACTTAAGAAATTTCAGGTGCCCCTGCATAGGGAGACACTGAGCAACCCCTTTGACGTCACCCCGAGGGGACATTACAAGGAGAAGGTACATATCAAAGGGGATGACTCCCCAAATGGGGAGGAACACAAATCGGGGGAGACCAAATGGAAGGACTGCATATTGAAGAGCTTCGCAACGTATGTCCTATTTAAAGATAAAGCGGAAGAAGAAGAAGAAGACAAGTCCATCCCTCACATTGTTAACGATTTTTCTGATTGCATAAAAATCTTTCTCATATTTTACAGATATGGTTACATAACCCAAGAACAACTCAGACAGGCAAACATATTGGACATACGAAATAAATACTTCTTTCTGCAGAATTTGCTCAAAAAGTTGAACATTCCAATTGTTTTACAAAATCAATATTTTAATAATCCCTGCGAAGTTGCAATTCTTTTGCAGCTAAAATTTATTCAGTTCTTCATTCGTAATGAGGGGTATGAAAAAGCTATTGATTTGGATGGGGAACATTTTTCTTTTTCTGACCTGTTCAGGCGAAATGTGATGCAAACTAGCGAAAAAAAAAAAAAAAAAAAAAAAAAAAGTTGTACACGGGGGGTAACCTCAGTGACTCGTGAAACGGTGGTTGCACCCTCATGGGGGGCCATAACGAAATCTCGAAAAAGACCGCAGCAAATGAGTTGAACCGATCTAGCAAATTTTCACCTGTTTCGAATTTGTCTGTGTTACATAGGCAAAAACGGGAATCAACATAGTTGCACATGGAAGCGGCCGTTTCGTCGAGTGACCAAATTTGAGCCAGCCGAATGACAGGCTAGCCAAAGTGAACGCCTACCATGTGCAGGGGAAAAAAAAAAATTCTCAGCAACGCGACACTTGGTACACATAGAACGGACAGCATTATATTCCCATATGCTAGCATTCCGAAAAAGACATATTCCGGAGGAGAGACATAAGGGTCATATGAAAAACATTTTACCCGCATGGTGAAGAGGACGCGATGTGGAGAAGCCACCCATATTCGAAGGAAAGAAGACGAATAATAAAAAATGACAAACTGGGTTGACCACCGAAAAATGAAAACAAGGAGCGATAACTCGACTGAACGTACCGCATAGCCGGCAAGAGAACCCTTGGGAGAATGCAATACACTTTGACGAACAGTATATACAGATTGGAATTCGCCCAAAAAATTAACACTAAAATGGGTATTGCAAAAAGAGGAAGCGTGGAGACGGAGTATCCTTTGGGGGTAATGCGAAATGGTGAAAAAATGGAACCTCTAATTCGTGAAAAGTTTTAGCCGTAGTCATAAAGACTGCTCACAGGAACAAAACGAAGAAGGCAATCCACAAATGGTAGATGAGCAGTGTACGTACACGTGCGTACATTTGTGCACAATCCAGGTAAAGCTTAAAAGCTGCCAACAATTGGGGGGAAGAAAAAAAGAAAATGCCCATTACAATTCGCTAAGGCGTTAGATTACCTTATGATCCTTTTGGTGAGCTCACTGCAGGTGATGTGGAGCTTTCCGTTATAATGGCTCATAAGGGTTATTTTTCAAGTTAAAGTGATCAATTTTTTTTCCTTTTTTAACTCACAGAGGGGGGAGGGGTGAAAAAAAAA